GCCGTAGAGACTAATTCTCGCGATGCACTCCTTGGAGGAACAGCGCAGTGCTTTGAGCCAGGAATGAAATGCCCAGCTGGAGGGGTGAGGGAAGAGTGTGGCTTGATCTGGGTTTATCAAACCCTTGCTTGGAGACCTTGGCATTAGGATAAGAAGAGCTGGAAGAGCATCCATGAAGTCAAAACAAAAGGGAGAGCATAACATGTTTTAGCAAACCAGCGCTGGAGTGCGTCAAAGTTCCCTGCGTGGGGAAGTGCAGATACAGAAGTTGTCCCCATTGCTCAGTTCCCCTCCCCTCCTGTGGTTTCCAGCAACTGAAGCATTTCTGCCTCCAGCTGCTAGTAGCCATCGATAGCCCTCTCCTCCAAGGACATGCCTAATGCTCTTTTAAAGCCATCAAAGTTTCGAGGCCTTCGCTGTCTCTTGTGGGAACATGTTCCATAGTTTAACAATGTGCTCCATGAAAAGTACTATCTTCTGTCTTCCCTGAACCTAGTGTTATAAGGGGCGGGAGCAGTGCCAGATTATACATAAATCTGTATTTTTTGCTCTATAAGACTCATTTTTTCCCTCCTAAAAAGTAAGGGGAAATGTGTGTGCGTCTTATGGAGCGAATGCAGGCTGCGCAGCTATCCCAGAAGCCAGAACAGCAAGAGGGATTGCTGCTTTCACTGCGCAGCGATCCCTCTTGCTGTTCTGGCTTCTGAGATTCAGAATATTTTTTTTCTTGTTTTCCTCCTCCAAAAACTAGGTGCGTCTTGTGGTCTGGTGCGTCTTGTAGAGCGAAAAATATGGTAAACAAGCTATAGCTTAGGGCCCCACTCTCTTGGGGCCCCCCCAAAAAAAATTAAAGGAAAAAAACTGGATGTACATTTCCAAAATATAAGATAAAAAACAAATAAAAGAAAACCTACATACAGCAACAGTGTTTTGCATTGTGTAGGCTCCTATGATGCAAGTAATGGGCCCTGCCTGCTAGCCTGCTCCGTAAAATATCACTGGATTGCCTATTTGGCAGGGCTGCCCTTGTCAAAATCCCTTTCACTACCAACTAAGAGACACCAGGCTTAATAGTCAGGAGGGAAAGAGGACTATAAAGCCTAATATCACTACAGTCTTGAACATTGCTGTCAACTTTCCCCCTTTTTTTAAGGGAAATTCCCTTATTCCGAATAGGATTCCTCGCACGAAAAGGGAAAAGTTGACAGCTATGGTCTTGGAGAGTCTCCCCCGTTTATTTAGGACTGCAGTGAGATCAGGCTTAACAGGAAGGAGGGGAAGCCTTTGGGAGCCCCCACCTCTCTCTTTAAGAGATCAGCAAGCTTGGGCTTCACAGGGAAGGGAAGAAACTTCTCCCTCCTTTTTTAGTGCTCAGAAGGATCGCCCCCTCTCCTGAAGGGATGGGCAATTCTACTTAGTACTGAGTTTCGGCTCGCCAAAGAGCTCTCTGCCAGGAGTGCCATTGCTCAGCCCCACTGAACGGGATGTTCTGCGTTGATACGAAGGGGGTGCCATCCTGCTTAGCAATGGGTCCCTGGTTTCTGCATTTCTTCAGAGGATCCTGACAACTAGCCCCATGCTCTGAGGGCTGTGCAAAGCAGCTTTGGAAAGCCATGTCCTATCAGTCACGCCTCACCCCTTGCCTGCATGTGAGAATGGCCTCATGGACCAAATGGGGGAAGACTTGGGGAGGGGGCAAGATGTGCTCAGAGGTCAGACATTCCCCACCCCAAAATTTCACCTCAGGAACTGATGGACTCTTACTTTGCCTCACAATAGTTTTGAAAGGTGCTGGGTTTTCGACGTCCAGAAGATGAAACGTTCCAAAAGAGAGGCGTTGGGGAGCTGAGGTTTGACTGTACAGTGGTACCTCAGGTTAAGTACTTAATTCGTTCTGGAGGTCTGTACTTAACCTGAAACTGTTCTTAACCTGAAGCACCACTTTAGCTAATGGGGCCTCCTGCTGCTGCTGCGCCGCCGGAGCATGATTTCTGTTCTCATCCTGAAGCAAAGTTCTTAACCCAAGGTACTATTTCTGGGTTAGCGGAGTCTGTAACCTGAAGCGTATGTAACCTGAAGCGTATGTAACCCGAGGTACCACTGTAATATATTGGCGTCCGCATGAAATCCTCCCCATCCCATTGTTGTCCTGTGTCTTTACCCCTTTGAATGCAGGGTTTTTCCTTCCTTTGGAAGTCGAAAAGGGGCATGATCTTTGTACTTAGCACATGACTGAGTGCTAGCAGTAGGAGGAAGTGCAGGGGCTGAGCCCCAGAACAAATCCCCCCCCCATCATTGATTCTTGTTTCTTTTCTTATCAAGGCAAAAGCCTACATGTCTTTGCTTTTCGAAAGATCTCCAAGGGTACAAGGGGATCCGTCAGCTCAATTCCAGCAAGTGGGACAGTTGTTGAGTTTTGTGGTTACAAATCTGTTATGTATTCTCTGATAAGTTCTCACCCTGGCCACCAGGGGTATTGTGTATATAGTTTTCACTCAGGTCCACATAAGTTAATTTAGGCGGGAAACCCTGGGTTGTTGTTGTTACGATGTTGACAGCCAGCTGCCTATAAAAGCAGGCCGGCTGAGCTGTTTGCAGTTCAGCTCTGTGTCGACTGCTATGTCCACCCACAACCTAATAAAATCAATAGTCAGCCAGTCTCTTGAAAATGCCATGGGGCCTGTTATGTATTCAGTGGTCTGTGCTTGCTGAGCTTGAATCTGGACTAAGGATTCTGAGCTCCTGTGTTCTGATTCGATACATGATATCCAATCACAGAACATTTCATGATTTGGGCTTCTGCCATTGGCCCTTAAACTCTGAGTCATGATTCGCAGCTTGGAAGTTTAGACAGCCAATCACGTTGGGAGTGGGAGTGGCCCAGGCCTTCGGAAATGTCTATAAGCAGTCGATTTGACCCTGTTGTCCAGTTCTGTTAGTTCAGTAAAGGTTCTTGCTGTTATCGCTGTGTCTTGCCTCACGGGAACCCACCTATACTTCAGGGCCCACTGTTGCTTTGCAAATAACCTACAAGTTATTAGCCCCCAACAATTCGCTCGCTCACCCTGACCTCATTAAGCAGAGAAGTAGACTGAATGGTTATTCTGTGACCTCCTCCTGCAAGATTACCTCCTAGAACGAGCTTCTACCAGCTAACTTTCCTAGGACCCCAGCCCACAAAACGTGCCAGTTACCAGTAACCAGAAGGATCCTGGACCCAGTCGCTGCTTTGTTTCGCAAACCCTGTTTTTTCTAAGCGACCCAAATGAGCCAGCATACTATTTTCCGTACCCAAAGTGGATTTCAGGACACCAGGATAACCAAGCAGACAAAAAACAAAAGTTCAAATCTTTATTTCCTAACCAAATGTTACACAACTTAGGATGTTTTCTTCCTTGTGGGGAGAAACCCTGAAAAGGGGGGGATAGAATTCCCCTACTTTGCTCAATCCACACGAAACACACTAGGGGCAGGGGGTGAACTCACACAAAAGAACTGGGCTATGGATCCTTACAATATAACAAGCAAAAATCAGGAAAGGTGATGCCCTAGCGGAAGGATTTCTGCTATTTAAGTCTTCCCTGGACTGCTTCACACTGCGATCCTTCTCCAAATTGGTCTTCCCTTCCCATGGGCCTTCTCCTTCAAATTGCATTCTCTTCCCCAAATCCCTTCTCCAAAAATGGGCCTTAATACGACACATGGAATGAAAAATAAAGCTCTGTCACACAGGATCTTTTTTTAAAAAATATGATGATGTTGATGATGCTTTCTTAACTGTAGTTACATCCGTACATCAAAGACATTTTATAGTCTGTAAATCAAACTCATCAAAATAAAAATTCCAACGAAGCATATATCTTCATAAATTTGACTTCCCGTCCTTCTCAAAATCTTTTCACTCTAATAAACCTATTACCTAAATTTATCAGCAAAATCATAATAAAATATTAATATGCATCTATGTATATATATCTATTTTAACCCATTTAACCTTTATTTACAGAGCTTATTCAAAGGCTGCTACCGAATTCAGATTGCAACACTTATTTTTTAAAGTAACTCTTAGAGGTTCCCAGTTACCAATGAATTCCTGTTTTTGCTTATCTTTAATCTTTTCTGAGAGACTATCTATCACACAGGATCTTAGAATGCTGTCCCAAAACAAAGTTTGTTCTCAATACTGTCCTCTTCACATATATGGGGACACCCACCACCTGCACAGGCTCAAAGTTTCCACATATTAAAGTAGCAAAAGTCCACATTAGCAGTGAATGCGAATTGCCGCAAGCCATCTTGATTGCTTCTTAGACCTCTCTAAGCAACATACAAACACGTACACTAACGTAATTATTCTGTTCTAGTTGGCAAGCAGCTGCTAAGGTCACTTTGGTTTGACATCAAGGTTACTAATAAAGAAATAGAGGTGATATATATATAGAGAGAGAGAGAGAGAGAGAGAGCGCAATTACCGTATTTTTTGCTCTATAAGACTCAATTTTTCCCTCCTAAAAATGGGGAGGGGAAATATGTGTGCGTCTTATGGAGTGAATGCAGGCTGTGCAGCTATCCCAGAACCCAGAACAGCAAGAGGGATTGCTGCTTTCACTGCACAGCAATCCCTCTTGCTGTTCTGGCTTCTGAGATTCAGAATTTTTTTCCTCTTGTTTTCCTCCTCCAAAAACTAGGTGCGTCTTGTGGTCTGGTGCGTCTTATAGAGTGAAAAATACGGTATATAAATTGTGTGTGTGTGTGTCTCATAAGCGCAATTGTCTCTAAAAACATTAACTTCCAAATACGCAGATTTCCCCCAGTGCTTCTGCTTTGCTAGGGTATTGGCTTATGTGACACAGTCCTTCCCTTTTGAAAAACATGAGACTGATTGCCAATGCAACTGTATTCTGGATAGATGCTTCTAATCGATTTTACATGTGTCAGCAGGTGTGGTTTCTGTGGGTCTTCCAGTCAGTCAGTCCTACAGAATAAAACTCAGGCATATTTTAGCCGTCACATCCGTCCATCTCCAGCCTTAATGTCTGTTTCAGAAGCTGCCACCTGGGGTCGTCTGGGAAGTGATCCTCAATAAACAGAGCAGGATGGGTAAGGAAGTAAAACTCACTGTATCTGCAAAAGAAGACCGCGGAATCATGCAGTCTTTCATAACGTTTCTGAAATCAGAACCAGGGTGAAGCAGGCAAAGCTGTTGAAGAATGAGTGTGGAATATTTACACGCCCAATTCAGATTTCAAGTAGAACTATAATTTAGCATGTTGACCTCAGGCTCACACTCTTCCCGCCCCCCTCCATCCCTGCCCACCTGCAAAGGGTTTGGAAACGACCTCCTGGTTTAGATTAACCAAAGTTTGTTGTCTCACCCAAATCCGACAAACAGAGCTTTATGATAACTATGGTTTGACAAGCCGTCTTCGAACTATCGTTTATCTAGCTAGCTTGTTTAAACAAACCATGGCTAAAATTAGCCACAGTTAAAGGTCTGTATGACCCTTCCTTGATCTGATTCCCTCTAGATCAGCCTTTCTCAACCTGTGGGTCCCCAGATGTTGTTGAACTACAACTCCCATCACCCCTAGCTAGTAAGGCCAGAGCTCAGGGACGATGGGAGTTGCAGTCCAACAACATCTGGGGACCCACAGGTTGAGAATCGCTGCTTTAGATGCTGCCGAACTCTAAATCCCATCAAACCCAGCTAGGGTCCAGTGGGAGTTGTAGTCCAACACAGCACTAGGTTGACAAACAACAACCCGGCTTCCAGGATCACCAGGGTAAATGTAACACTCTAGAACCACTCAAGAGGATAAATGGATGGTTGGAGGAGTTTACATAATCTCCCCGCCACCGTGACACACCATGCCAATGGCTTAATTCTAGCTGCACCGGAATATAATAGTCAGCCCTGTGGCTGTCAAATCACCAGCTCTGAGATGTAGTCCAAGGAGGCTGGGGAAAGTTCTCTAGAAGCAACAGAATTAAGCTATGCCTTCGTTGTGTCCCACACTATCGCTGGACTTTCTGCCTAACAACATACCTGAAAGTGAAGTTGCCCTTGTCATCCACGCATCCACTTCCCCATGTACTGTCCAAAAGGTGCCACCTTCCATCGAGATGAACAGTGCTCCAGACATGACTCTTATATTCCTCAATGACCTGTTCTGCTTTGTATCCATACCCTATGCAGTAGCCTGACAACGTCTTGCACTGTATCCCTGCAATACTGAGAAGGGAAGAAAGGTATTGAGGAACACCATTGTGATCAAGGGACGGTGGCTGCTTTCGCTGATTTTCTTTTTGAACAAGATCCTCCTTCACATTGCTGTTTTCAGAAGCCAAACAACAGCCTTCCCAGCTCATTGCATTTCACACTTGTTCTTGTCCTGTCCGGTCTGCCTCGTTAGGGGTGTGCATTGTGGGATTTTGATGGAGAAAATAGAATTATTTTGAGTGTCACCTGGGACCACTACTTTACTTTTCAGAAAAGCCATGGCTCAGTAGTGCTAACAGACCCGACTGTGGCCACAGCCTGCCTCATTTCTTTCTTTCATATTACAAGTTACAGGTAGGTAGACGTGTTGGTCTGCTGTAGTCGAAACAAACAAAACAAATTAAATTAAATTAAAAAATTTAAAAAATCCTTCCAGTAGCACCCTAGAGACCAACTAAGTTAGTTATTAGGGACGCAGGTGGCGCTGTGGGTTAAAGCACAGAGCCTAGGACTTGCTGATCAGAAGGTTGGCGGTTCGAATCCCCCCAACGGGGTGAGCTCCTGTTGCTCGGTCCCTGCTCCTGCCAACCTAACAGTTCGAAAGCATGTCAAAGTGCAAGTAGATAAATAAGTACCACTCCAGCGGGAAGGTAAACGGTGTTTCCATGTGCTGCTCTGGTTTGCCAGAAGCGGCTTAGTCCTGCTGGCCACATGACCCGGAAGCTGTATGCCGGCTCCCTCGGCCAATAAAGCGAGATGAGTGCCGCAACCCCAGAGTCAGTCACAACTGGACCTAATGGTCAGGGGTCCCTTTACCTTTACCTTTACCTTTAAGTTAGTTATTGGTATGAACTTTTGTGTGGTATCTGAAGAAGTGTGCATGCACATGAAAGCTCATACCAATAGCTAACTTAGTTGGTCTCTAAGGTGCTACTGGAAGGAATTATTTTATTTTATTTATTTTGTTTTGTTTCATATTACAGAAGTAGGAAATCTTTGGCTATCCAGAAGTTGCTGAAGTACAACTCCCATCATTTCTGGCCATTGGCTAAGCTTGCTTGGCCTGATGGGAGTTGCAGCTGAGCGATGTCTGGAGGGCCAAAGGTTCTGCATGCCTGCTATATAAGCATGGCGGTCCTTTGCACCTGGTCCAGTTATCCCATTCAGGACCAGGGTGTCCACCACACCTGCCCGCCCCCTCTCCCCAAGAAACAGTCCATTGATTTCAGTGGATCTGCTCAAAGCTTAATTCAACACAACCCTATATATGCAAATTTGCTTCAGGAACATTCAAACCATTGAGCAGGGTTGGGGAACCTGTGGCTCCCATCATCCCTGCCACGAAACCACTGCTTGACCCGATAACTGGGGCTGAGAAAAGTCACCTGCACATTTCTTCAAAGAGTCCACAATATCCTGTACAAATTCCTTTTCCTGACTGCAGGACATCTGCTGCCTCTGAAGCCCTCTTGGCTTCGTCATAGAAGGCTTCCATATCATATTCTGGAGAAATAAACACATTTATGAAATATCACCCCAAAGCATGAAATGCATAGTGAACAAGGGTCTGCAAGAGTCACGTGTGGGTTACAAACGTTCAGAAGATGCGAGCGATCAATCAATTCAATGAAACATATATCTTTTCCCCTTAATGAAATAACAAAAGTTTATTGTGTGACAAATCACCTATATGATGGCAAATCCACATCCAAATGGCTCGGACTTTCTCCAGGTCATTGTGGGCTTTTTGGAGCAAGACGCTCACCAGGTTTTCCACGCTATCCTTGACATTCACCTGTTTGACAAAAGGTAAATAGATTTGGTAGCAGTTAGAATGGGTCAGTGGCGGGATGCAGTGGTGGACTGGATGGGGGACAATAAACTGTGTTTGAACCCTGGGGCAATGGAGTATCTTGGTGGGTGGTTCTCATATTCCAGAAATTGACAGGTTTCCTGTTCTGGATGTGGTTGCACTTCCCCTGAAGGAGCCAGGTAATAGTTGGGGGTACTCCTGGAATAATAATAATAATAATAATAATAATAATAATAATAATAATAAATTTATACCCCATCCATCTGGCTGGGTTTCCCCAGCCATTCTGGGCAGCTCCCAACAGAATATGAACAATAATAATTAAAAAATAAATCATCAAACATTAAAACAAGGTTGCCTTCAGATGTCTTCTAAAAGTCAGATAGTTGCTTATTTCCTTGACATCTGATGGGAGGGTGTTCCAAAGGGCAGGCGCCACCACCGAGAAGGCCCTGTGCCTGGTTCCCTGGTTTGTAATGACTGATGTTTTAATGTATTTTTAATCTTTTTTTGGAAGCCGCCCAGAGTGGCTGGGGAAACCCAGCCAGGTGGGTGGAATATAAATAATACATTTATTATTGTCATTATTATTATTATTATTATTATTAGTCTTCAGCCTACATGAACAGTCCCTCTGTTGTGTTAATCATGCGCAAAACAGAGTCTTGTGACTCATGATGCTTCCCATTATGACCTTCAATGTGGACATAAGAAGTTGCTGCTGCTCAGGAGAGGACACTTGAAGGTACTCTTAGAATCCAAATCCACGTTTAAAAAAACCCTAATAGGCAGGACTATTACTCCACTTGTAAATATATCACAATAAGAGACAGCATACCTTCTGTGCATAGGCATCGAGTTCCTCAAACTGCGTCAAGTCTATTTCTATCGATTTCTCATTGCATTCATCCCAAGGATAATCTAGGAAGAAACATGGAAGACGTGGATTTTGATCTGTTCTCAGACCTGTCTCCAGTATCCATTCACCGGGACGTTAACTGTAGGTTCATTTCGGGAACTATAATGGTGACACAAACAGGGCTGCTTCAGGTGATGGATAAAATGTACCCACCCACATGCCACATACAGAAACCCCATTCCACTTGCAAAAACCAAACAGTGGTGATGGGACAGACTCCTTTACCATACCTGAGGACAACAGGCTAACCTAGTGGATGTAGAGCAAACATAATAGTATGCAAGGATGTGTTTTCTCTTCCCTCCACCCACCCAGAAGAGTTTGGATTTGATATCCCGCTTTATCACTACCTGAAGGAGTCTCCAAGCGGCTAACATTCTCCTTTCCCTTCCTCCCCCACAACAAACACTCTGTGAGGTGAGTGGGGTTGAGAGACTTCAAAGAAGTGTGACTGGCCCAAGGTCACCCAGCAGCTGCATGTGGAGGAGCAGAGACGCGAACCCGGTTCCCCAGATTACGAGTCTACCGCTCTTAACGACTACACCACACTGACCCAGGAATATCCGAAGCCCAAGATGGCCCTCTCACTGCCTAACATTAGGGCTGGCCTTGGCATTAAATGTACGGTGCATCTAATTTTTACCATGCAAGCCTTGTTCCCAGAACATCTCAAGAGGTGTGGACGGGCTCTCGTGAAAATTGCTTTCTCTGCTACTATGGTATACAACTCCCATCATTCCTCGCGACTGGCCATGCTTGCTGAGGCTGTTGGTAGTTGTAGTCCAACAACATCTGGAGGGCCAAACGTTCCCACACCTAATATATAGCCATAACAAAGGGATGCAGGTGGCGCTGTGGGTTAAACCACAGAGCCTAGGACTTGCTAATCAGAAGGTCGGTGGTTTGAATCCCCGAAACAGGGTGAGCTCCCGTTGCTCAGTCCCTGTTCTTGCCAACCTAGCAGTTTGAAAGCACGTCAAAATGCAAGTAGATAAATAGGTACCGCTCCGGCAGGAAGGTAAACAGCATTTCCGTGTGCTGCTCTGGTTCGCCAGAAGCGGCTTAGTCATGCTGGCCACATGACCTGGAAGCTATACGCCAGCTCCCTTGGCCAATAAAGTGAGATGAGCGCTGCAACCCCAGAGTCAGCCACGACTGGACCTAATGGTCAGGGGTCCTTTATAGCCATAACAAAGAAGTTATATTTACCGTACAGATCTTTTTTCTCAAGCGCCATTGATCTTCCTCCTTCTCCTGGAAAGCCTACAAAATCGCTACTGTTGGGATGAGACAAGATGCACATGAAAGCCTATATCGCAACTTCCGCCATCCCACAGAGTCCTCATCCCAGCAGTGGAGCTGTGCTTGCCCAGGTGAGACAGAGCACTGGCTTGGGAGACAGCTGATGCTTCATTGAGTTGCAAAGGCTTTCTGGGACATTGTACAGTGGTACCTCAGGTTACATACGCTTCAGGTTACATACGCTTCAGGTTACAGACTCCGCCAACCCAGAAATAGTGCTTCAGGTTACGAACTTTGCTTCAGGATGAGAACAGAAATCGTGCTCCGGTGGCGCGGCGGCAGCGGGAGGCCCCCATTAGCTAAAGTGGTGCTTCAGGTTAAGAACAGTTTCAGGTTAAGAACGGACCTCCGGAACCAATTAAGTGCTTAACCTGAGGTACCACTGTATTGTAAAGGCTGGCCAGGTTAAACTTGCACAAACGTCAGTTTGGGTTTTCTGCAGATTGACATTTGCTCTGAATTAGCACCAAAGAGCGGGTTTTTAGGGGAATGTTCTGGGGCAAAAAAAAGAGCACTCACAGAGCTATAAAGCACAGACCATACCTGGAAGGAGCAGAGGAAATGTAAGTGTGGATAAGCCTTCGATGTTACACTGACAATCACAGGGTTGCTGATCTCACCTCCTTCCCTTCCTCCTCCATGACGCCATACATAATGGGAGCACACTTCCACCTTAGCCAGACAGATCTAGAATCTTTCCTATAATAAATATTAGGTCTCTTATTTTCCTGATTGTAGCCAGGGTCAAGTGTTTTCCTCCAATAGGGATTCTGCTTCCGTTCGGCTTCTGCCAACATTCAGCTTCAAATGCTAAGAGTAGGGAGATTTCTTTAATCAGTCAACCTGCAAGCTTGATGTTTCAGCCAGGCATCTCCTCACCCCGACCCACCCCACCCCCCCGGAGCATGTCCATTTTTATTACAGTGGTACCTCGGGTGAAGTACTTAATTCATTACGGAGGTCCGTTCTTAACCTGAAACTGTTCTTAACCTGAGGTACCACTTTAGCTAATGGGGCCTCCCACTGCCGCTGCACGATTTCTGTCCTCATCCTGAAGCAAAGTTCTTAACCCAAGGTACTATTTTTGGGTTAGCAGAGTCTGTAACCTGATGCGTCTGTAACCTGAAGCGTCTGTAACCTGAGGTACCACTGTAATTAGGTTTATAAAGTTTATATGCCACTTGACCTTAAAGGTAAATATCAAAGCCATTTACAAAAAGGAATGAATACAGTGGTACCTTGGTTCTCAAACTTAATCCGTTCCAGAAGTCCCTTCCAAAACCAAAGTGTTCCAAAACCAAGGCATGCTTTCCCATAGAAAGTAATGCAAAATGGATTAATCCGTTCCAGACTTTTAAAAACAACCCCTAAAACAGCGATTTAACATGAATTTTACTATCTAACAAGACCATCGATCCATAAAATGAACGCAATAAACAATGTACTGCAGTCACACAATCATGCATCAGTAGGTGAACTGGGTTCCACACAGCCACAAAAAAACAAAAAGAGCCCCCAAAATAAAAACGTAAAATAAATAGCAAAAACAGACAGACCTCAGCGTAACACTCAAAATGGAAGTGTGGCACTCAAAACAGAATCATACCACTCAAACGGAGCTCATTCAGTTTCTGAAGGAACGTTCGCAAACCGGAACACTTACTTCCGGGTTTGCAGTGTTTGGGTTCCAAGTTGTTTGAGTACTAAGGTGTTTGAGAACCAAGGTACCACTGTACTTCTTTTTAAACAAAACAACACCCAAACACCTATTTTAATTCCTATTGGCCACAAGATGGCAATGGAAGATGGTCTGAAACCTTACAGTACCATCCCTAGGTGTGGAAACACAAAAAAGGATGTTGCAGAGGACAAGGCAATTGCCTGAGGATCATGTTGTCGTTTGAGCTTCAGCCACTGCACTGAATTCTGCCTTTAGGGAAAGGGTTTGTAGCTTAGTGGCAGAGCAGAAGATCCCTGGTTCAGTCCCAAACAGAGAGGACAGTTATAACAGATGAAATTCAAAAGGTGAAAAACACAACTATAAAAATAGGCATGTAGAATGAGTAGTTGCACGTGAGTTAAAGTAACAAAGTCCAAGTAAAGACTCTCGATTTTATCAGATCATCAGGTATTAGTTCCAGATCTGCTAGGCTTGTGTCTTGAAAATGATGGTTTTGCTAGTCTATGTCATGAAGAAATGTAAAATCACCTTTGAATTTAATCATGTGTAAGGGGCCTTAGAGGGACGCGGGTGGCGCTGTGGGTTAAACCACAGAGCTTAGGACTTGCCGATCAGAAGGTTGGCGGTTCAAATCCCCGCGACGGGGTGAGCTCCCGTTGCTCGGTCCCTGCTCCTGCCAACCTAGCAGTTCGAAAGCACGTCAAAGTGCAAGTAGATAAATAGGTACTGCTCCGGTGGGAAGGTAAACGGCGTTTTCGTGCGCTGCTCTGGTTCGCCAGAAGCGGCTTAGTCATGCTGGCCACATGACCTGGAAGCTGTACGTCGGCTCCCTTGGCCAATAAAGCGAGATGAGTGCCGCAACCCCAGAGTCGGTCACGACTGGACCTAATGGCCCTTTACCTTTTAAGGTGCCTTAAGGTAAAGGTACCCCTGCCCGTACGGGCCAGTCTTGCCAGACTCTAGGGTTGTGCGCTCATCTCACTCTATAGGCCGGGAGCCAGCGCTGTCCGCAGACACTTCCGGGTCACGTGGCCAGCGTGACAAGCTGCATCTGGCGAGCCAGCACAGCACACGGAAACGCCGTTTACCTTCCCGCCAGTAAGCGGTCCCTATTTATCTACTTGCACCCGAAGGTGCTTTCGAACTGCTAGGTTGGCAGGCGCTGGGACCGAACGATGGGAGCGCACCCCGCCATGGGGATTCGAACCACCGACCTTTCGATCGGCAAGTCCTAGGCGCTGAGGCTTTAACCCACAGCGCCACCCACGTCCTTCTTAAGGTGCCTTACTTTCAAATATTTTATTTTGTATTAATTCCCATGAATTCCATTTTCTAGATAACATCAGTATAAGTTCTGAACCATACACTCAAATATAATTTAATGATCCTATTACGTTTTGTACGCTAATAAGACAAGGGATTTGTTTTCTTTACAGTCAGAAGTCTGCTTTTTTATTTAACTGTGTAAGCATCAACGCCTTTTCCACTGGGTTGTTTACCCTGCAGGGACTGTGCCTGAAATCAGCTCCTGCCTAGAATCCCAGTCCTCAAATTTCACTAGTTACTAGTAATTAGACAGTTCTGAACCCCAGTCAGTTGCTGAGTTTCCCAAACCCTCTTTCTAAGAAACGCAAGTAAATTAAGATGCCTTGGTTACCTTTTTGAAGTAGAAGACGTCCGAGTGATTATTTTTCTGCTTTGGAGGGAAAAGTATTGCTGCGGGACGAATTAAGCGCTTTCTTTTACCCGAGTGAATTTTTATTGTTTTCCTTACATATTCTTTTCCAACAAATTGTAATAGCACCATACATTCGCGACTCGGCAGAGTCAAAGGGAATGAATTAAGCGCTTTCATCCAGGAACGAAGTGCCAAAGCGAGGGTGAAGGTGAGGGCAGAGCAGGGTTTGATCTGAGGTTGCCAACACCACCCCCCTCCTTGAGACCTTGGCAATTAGGACAGAGGAGTAGCAGGAATGGCACCTGTGAAGTGAAAACAAACGGCAATCATAAGATGTTTTTAGCTGGAGTGTGTCCAAGCTCCCAGCGTGGGGGAGCAAAGATACGGCAGGTGTCTCTGTTGCTCATTTCCTCTACTCCATAAGAACAGCCTCTTGTTCTCACAGTGGCCCGTGGGATAGCAGCAACTGCAAGCAGGATCCGTGCATAAGAGCCCTCTCCCTTCCTGTGATCTCCAGCAGCTGGAGCCTTGCTGCCTCCTTGGCTTATAGCCATGGATAGCAATCTTCTCCATGAATTTGCCTAACCCTCTATTAAAGGTAAAGGGACCCCTGACCATTAGGTCCAGTTGTGACCGACTCTGGGGTTGTGGCGCTCATCTCGCTTTATTGGCTGAGGGAGCCGGCGTACAGCTTCCAGGTCATGTGGCCAGCATGACTAAGCCGCTTCTGGCGAACCAGAACAGCGCACGGAAACGCCATTTATCTTCCTGTCAGAGCGGTACCTATTTATCTACTTGCACTTTGATGTGCTTTCAAACTGCTAGGTTGGCAGGAGCAGGGACCGAGCAATGGGAGCTCACCCCGTCACGGGGATTCAAACCGCCAACCTTCTGATCCTGGGCTCTGTGGTTTAACCCACAGCACCACCCGCGTCCCCAAATCCTCTATTAATACCATCCAAATTGGAGGCCATCACAATATGTTAGGTTAGGTTAGGTTATGAACAAACTCAGATGAGCTTCCAGGGGTCAGCAGACTTCTTCAGCAGGGGGCCAGTCCACTGTCCCTCAGACCTTGTGGGGGGCTGGACTATATTTTGAACAAAAAAATGGAACAAATTTCTATGCCCCACAAATAATCCAGAGATGCATTTTAAATAAAAAGACACATTCTACTCATGTAAAAGCACGCTGATTCCAGGACCGTCCGCGGGCCAGATTTAGAGGGCGATTGGGCCGGATCCGGCCCCCAGCCTTAGTTTGCCTGCCCATGGCTTAGGCCAATAACATGATAGTTATGAGCTGATATATTTAGTAATTAGATAGCTTATAAGCTTAATTAATTACAGCTGGGATGGGGGATCTTTTTGGTTCTATGTTCTAGATCCTTATCAGCATCTGTCTGTGGGTCAAAATCCCTTTCACTTCCATAAGGTAAAAGATAAAGGACCCCTGGATGGTCCAGTAAAAGGCAACTATGGGGTTGCGGCGCTCATCTCACTTTCAGGCCAAGGGAGCCAACATTTGTTCACAAACAGCTTTATGGGCCATGTGGCCAGCAGGACTAAACCACTTCTGGCGCAACGGAACACCATGACGGAAACCAGAGTGCACGGAAACGCCGTTTACCTTCCCGCCACAGTGGTACCTATTTATCTACTTGCACTTTGGCGTGCTTTCAAACTGCTAGGTTGGCAGGAGCTGGGACAGAGCAACTGGAGCTCACCCCATCGCAGGGATTCGAACCGCCGACCTTTCGATCGGCAAGCCCAATAGGCTCAGTGGTTTAGACCACAGCACCACCCGTGTTCCTTAAGACCTAAAAGGGAAGAGGGGAAAGGACTATAAGGACCGATTTTAGCATTTCAATAAGATCAGGCATAACAGGAGTGGGGGAGAAGCCTTTGGGAGTCTCCACCTCTCTCTTTAAGAGCACAGCAAGACTTCAAGGGGAAGAGAAGCGACTTCTTTCTCCTTTTTAGGGCTCAGTTCAGGAGTGCCTGTGAGCTCCCTGCAGGGAGCCTGGCAGGCCCAATCTCTCTGCTGAACTAGCACTAAGAAGGATCTCCCCCTCTCCTAATGAGGGGTGGGGGCACAATCTTGCTTAGTGCTGAGTTTCGGCACACCAGAGAGCTCTCTGCCAGGAGCGCCATGGCTCAGCCGAACACACCAGGCTTGGTCTCCCTTTAGATCAGCTGATATGAAGGGGGAGCGATCCTGCTTAGCAGTGGGTCCCTGCTTTCTGCATTGCTTCAGAGGCCCCTAACAACCAGCTGGTTGGC